ATAGTTTATCTGTCAAACACTGTTCCTCTTCTAAAGTGTTTCAGCTGTTGTATGGTCTGTGGTGTCACTCTCAGTTTATCTGTCAAACACTGTTCTTCTTCTATATCAGCTATCAGCTATATCGAAGTAAATATTTCAATAAATCAGTAGATTCACACAAATCTGAACAAAACCCATATCAAAAGGCCCAAAATGAACAGTTATAGGTACATATTGGGTCATTAAAACACCGGAAATAAAGAGTTCCAGGTACAACATGGATCACTATAACATCGGAAATTAAAAGTCACGTGTACAAGATGGGTCACTATAACGCCGGAAATGAAGAGCCCCAGGCACGAGATGGGTCACTAAAACGCCGGAAATAAAAAGTTCCAGGTACATCTTGGGTCACCATAACACCGGAAATGAAGAGTTATAGGTAGAAGTTGGGTCATTATAACACCGGAAATGAAAAACAAGTTCCTATTTAGACTAGAAAATTAGGATATAAAACTGCAGGACACGTGCTTGTAATTATTCTCTACTACAGAGGGTTATGAATATGAAAACCAACAAGTCACGTTACAATCACAAACCATATAAAGTTGCGGTATGTTTTATCGTTGTATAGTAATGTAATACCACCAAATGTTGACCGTTTTTAGTAACGGTATGGGTTATGAACATGAAAACCAACAAGTCACGTTACAATCACAAACCATATAAAGTTGCGGTATGTTTTATCGTTGTATAGGTAATGTAATACCTCAAAATGTTGACCGTTTTTAGTAACGGTATGGGTTATGAACATGAAAACCAACAAGTCACGTTACAATCACAAACCATATAAAGTTGTTTTGACATTGTTTTATCGTTGTATAGGTAATGTAATACCACCAAATGTTGACCGCTTTTAGAAACGGTATGCAACAGTCCTTTCCGACATTCAAACATTCAGGTAATAAATATCGGGGATTTAGAATTTCTAAGACGGGGGTATCCCTTCTTCTGAATGGTATTGGAACGTAAGTGGCAAAAGTCGTCCACATGACTCAGGCAAAGGTATTTAAATTAACCCCCACTTCCACTCCTTCCCCATTCAACCACTGCATACCTCTAAAGAATGAAAGAGGTGTTCATGTTATTTAAAGATATACCAGTCAAATTGGTGGGATCAATCTATTAAAATAAGCGCTACGAAACCAATGTCCTCTTACACTAGATGGATTATGCAAAGCAAGCAGATAGGCGTGTTGTGGGTTGGACATGACAGCCTTAAGACAGAGATTTTTCCAGTGAAAACTATGTTGTATGACTGTATATTCTCAAGAGGCACACTTGTCATCGCATGACCAAACGTGATGATATGGACTGTATCGACGTCGCAAGACTCCAAAAATCATATTTATATATAACGTACTAAACCCCTGTATTAGTGCAATTAAAACATCTAGTTAACCGTTTATAGTACTAATGTGGGTAAAACACTAAATTAACCGTTTATATTATTAATGTGGGTAAAACATCTACTTAACCGTTTATAGTACTGATGTGGGTAAAACACCTAGTTAACCGTTTATAGTACTAATGTGGGTAAAACATCTAGTTAACCGTTTATAGTACTGTGTTTTACCCACATCTGGTTAACCGTTTATATTATTAATGTGGATAAAACACCTGGTTAACCGTTTATAGTACTAATGTGGGTAAAACACTTAGTTAACCGTTTATAGTACTAATGTGGGTAAAACATCTAGTTAACCGTTTATAGTACTGATGTGGGTAAAACACCTGGTTAACCGTTTATAGTACTGATGTGGGTAAAACACTTAGTTAACCGTTTATAGTACTAATGTGGGTAAAACACTTAGTTAACCGTTTATAGTACTGATGTGGGTAAAACACTTAGTTAACCGTTTATAATACTAATGTGGATAAAACACCTAGTTAACCGTTTATATTATTAATGTGGATAAAACACCTAGTTAACCATTTATAGTACTGATGTGGGTAAAACATCTAGTTAACCGTTTATAGTACTAATGTGTGTAAAACACCTAGTTAACCGTTTATAATACTAATGTGGATAAAACACCTAGTTAACCGTTTATATTATTAATGTGGGTAACACATCTAGTTAACCGTTTATAGTACTGATGTGGGTAAAACACTTAGTTAACCGTTTATAATACTAATGTGGATAAAACACCTAGTTAACCGTTTATAGTACTAATGTGGATAAAACACCTAGTTAACCGTTTATAGTACCGATGTGGGTAACACATCTAGTTAACCGTTTATAGTACTGATGTGGGTAAAACACTTAGTTAACCGTTTATAGTACTAATGTGGGTAAAACATCTAGTTAACCGTTTATAGTACTAATGTGGGTAAAACACTTAGTTAACCGTTTATAGTACTGATGTGGATAAAACATCTAGTTAACCGTTTATAGTACTGATGTGGGTAAAACACCTGGTTAACCGTTTATATTATTAATGTGGATAAAACACCTGGTTAACCGTTTATAGTACTAATGTGGATAAAACACCTAGTTAACCGTTTATATTATTAATGTGGATAAAACACCTAGTTAACCGTTTATATTATTAATGTGGATAAAACACCTAGTTAACCGTTTATATTATTAATGTGGATAAAACACCTAGTTAACCGTTTATATTATTAATGTGGATAAAACACCTAGTTAACCGTTTATAGTACTAATGTGGATAAAACACCTAGTTAACCGTTTATAGTACTGATGTGGGTAAAACACCTGGTTAACCATTTATAGTACTAATGTGTGTAAAACACCTAGTTAACCGTTTATAATACTAATGTGGATAAAACACCTAGTTAACCGTTTTTAATACTAATGAGGGTAAAACACCTAGTTAACCGTTTATAGTACTAATGTGGATAAAACACCTAGAGGTGTTTTATCCACATTAATAATATAAACGGTTAACTAGGTGTTTTATCCACATTAATAATATAAACGGTTAACTAGGTGTTTTATCCACATTAATAATATAAACGGTTAAAGGTGTTTTATCCACATTAATAATATAAACGGTTAACTTATAAACGGTTAACTTTATTAATGTGGATAAAACACCTAGTTAAATTAACTGCAAGTAATGACATATTTGTTTATAAAATAAAGAAGCTTGGTTAATTTTCAGTTCATAGTTCTGATATAACGTATTATTATTGTTTTTCCTTAAATTACGTAAAAACTTACCCAATATGTTTCTAATATATGATTTTGTGCTCACCTCTTCGCTGATCACGTGCTGTTTTTCTACCACAACCTCCCAAGTCCAGTTCTTGTAACAGTAAACAAAATGTGTTAAAATAATATATTCTCCGTTATGTTACAATTAAAGCCTGTAGCATTGAAACTCTGAAAAGTGACGTTGTTCACGTAGTTGACATAGTAAAAAACGAAACACGAGTGGCTCCGTCTACTGGACTAAATATCTGCGAACATGTGGAGGTAGCCTTTTCTAAAGTACTGAACGGAGCGCCCTGGCCACGTGATGGTTGCACAAAGAAACTCGGTTGAATTTATGTAGAACACACTTTGGTCGGACCAAAAAACTAAACGAAGCTGTGTAGATATATTGATTGGTTGAATTATTATATGTTAAAAAGTTATTCGATCATTTTTTGAATACATTATAGTTTATTACTTAGGGTAAGTGATTGTTGTCAAAATCAGATTTTTCAGTAATGCAAACATTTTGACTTTAATTATGTTGTTCTAAATCAGAGGGGGAGTATATGTGACATACCACCAATAAGAATCGTGTCATCTGTTTCCAAGTGTGAAACAGACAAACACGAGATTTCACGCCTCAAGTAAGGCCCTAATAAACTGTAGCTATTATAAGCATATCATCTATTATATATATATTCGTGGCATGGAAATATGAGTAGGTTTTGGTTTGGTTTTTGATCCGGTTCACTAAACCGCGTTGCGACGATTCAAAATAACGAGAAGCGACTAACATCGATCGAATTTTTCGTACGGTTTTAGAATAAATACGTTAACCGTATTAACTGTGGAATGTCAAAAGAAATTCCGTAGAGGTTTGTGAAGGTGATCCTTGAAAAAAGAATACAACTTAACGATTTACACAAAAACCTAAATCTTGAAACTGTATCGAAAACGGTATTATCCACCAAGAAAGAAACATCGCGCTCGACTCGTAAATCTGAGGGTCGCGGGTTCGAATCCCCGTCCCACCAAACATGCTCGTCCTTTCAGCCGTGGGGGCGTCATAACCAATCCCACTATACGTTAGTAATAGAGAGCCCAAGAGTAGGCGGTGGGTGGTGATGACTAGCTGCCTTCCCTCTAGTCTTTTCTGCTAAATTAGGGACGGCTAGCGCAGATAGCCCTCGTGTAGCTTTGGACGAAATTCAAAACAAACCAAATCGTAATATACTTCATATTCGATAATAGACGTACCAGATAAAAAAATCATTCATTCAGAGGGTAGCCCGCACTATACCGAGTGGTGAGGGGGGTCTCCCCCCCCCCCCAAATGTGGACCTTTTCTACTACACAAATAATTTAAGTGATTTTCATTAAAGTGAAATTTTTATTTAAAAACAAAAATGAAAATATAGTGGAACTTTTAGACTTTTTAGGATATTTGAGTGGTCATTCTACACACCCCCCTTCACCACTGTCACTCCTCTGACATTATAGCGCAACTAAATAAAACATCTATATTCTATTATGTATTACTACGAGATTTATGGAAACTCGTAAGTGGTAAAAGATGAAGAGACGCCAGTTTAACTTCCACTAATACATATAGATGGCGTCTACTTCTTCGTCTTTGAGGGTTTTTGTTACTTCACAGATGTATCCTCATATGACATTAAGAAACATCCCGTAGAATGTGTAGCGAAGGTCACGTGGAATTGTTTTTCCTTGCCGCGTGTTTACACGTATTTGTAACGGTATTCAAGCTTATTAATTCAATAGCATCCTTCAACGTGTACCGGTAAAACCAGTTAGGCCAGGTTAGTCGTGTACGATGGTCTTAAAAAGAACAACAAGCACGTGAAATGTATCAAATAAGTTACTCAGTAAAAGTTGTATATCTACTCATCAGAAATAATAAAAGCATTGTATACGAGAAAACATCGAATCCTTTGTATTTTCCTCTTAGATAAATAAATAAATACTAGTTCCATGCCAGTCTTTCAACAAGTTTCTACTTCAGCAGTAAACTGTTAATCTGTTCTACGGGGACAGTCCGTAGAGCATAAAAACTTTACATTGAGAATCAAATACATACATATTGTTAAGTTTTTTGTTCTAGCTGTAATTATTTTCGAAAGGATTAGTTAAGAACTTGATGTGCGGGTTCGAATCCCATCTCCAACCACGAGGGGGTGGGGGGGGGTATAATGTGTCTGTCGATCCCACTTTTTGTTGGTAAAAAGTAACTCAAGAGTTGGCGGCGGGTGGTGTTGATTAACTGCCTTCCTCAACAAAAAGACAGACAAACTTTCTAAAAACATCAAACACAAGTATATAACGATCTGTTATCTGGTAGGTCGGCATTATAAGGAAAATTTGTCTGTCTGTCGGTATGTGTGTTGATTTAGAAAGTTCCAAATGCCAACACGTTTTCGTCTTGTTTTTCTAAGGAGATTTATAGCTTCGTATTTGATATATTTAAATAAAAAGTACACGAATACATGAATTATTTTTATATTTAATTTACCTTCTTCAAGTCGGTAAACTAAGATTACTTTATTATCTCCAGTTCAACCACCCTTCTTGTAGAAAAAAAAATGCTTTAACATCTTTCTTTGGCTTTATAAGAAACACACTGTGATTGGATGAGGAACATAAACGCCTGGAATAAGTATTTTCTGATAGGCTATAACTAGAAACATGAACAGGGGTAAAGGGGTCAGTAGACGAAAGTTAGTGAAACTGCCGCAAGGAGAACTGAAACAAGAACGAGACACGCCCAATCTATATTACAGTTCCCATTTAATGTACTAAGATTATATAAGAGAGAGACGGCGTCAGAGGTCGCCATGATCTCCAAACCTAAAGTTAACACTAAATAATCAATGTATTTGAAAGAGGTGGGCTTAGGAAATTGTTCATTTTAAGGGTTGTGATGGATACCTGAATAACCTTATGCTGTCACACGATAACATGTTAATAACGTTTTAAACATCACTTAGTTTGAGATTTATTCACGGTACCTACCTCATTTGTATAAAGAAGTGAGTGGGTTTTCTTTAGGTATTATACTTTTAATTATTAGGGTTAACAATTTAGCTTGGTTTGAGAACTGAAAGTGTACACTTTATGGGAAATAAGTTTTTGTAAGATATATCAATAAATGAATAGGCTTCGAACGCAGTTTTGCCGTTAAGGTTTTCTTTAGGTATTATACTTTTAATTATTAGGGTTAACAATTTATCTTGGTATGAGAACTGAAAGTGTACATTTTATGGGAAATAACAAGTTTTTGTAAGATATATCAATAAATGAATAGGCTTCGAACGTAGTTTTGCCGTTATTTTATATTGAAAATTTCTATTTGTTCATGAACCAAGGTGGTAAACTCTACAACTTAGAAAAGTTAAGGCAGCTAGTCAACATCACCCACTACCAACTCTTGGGCTACTACAATCGAATAGTGGGATTGACCATCACATTATAACAGTCTTATGGCTGAAAGGGCGAGCATGTTTGATGATGAAATTCGAATCCGTGGCTCGCAGATTCAAGTCCAGTGCCCTAACTACCAGTATATGCGAAGTCTATTAGAGGTGTAGCCTGTATGGCAGGTGCCAATCCTAGCTTTTTTAAATGTCAACTAGGACACTTGTATTGGATTATACCGTGTAATCCAACCTACATGCAAAGTCTATTAGAGTTGTAGCCTGTATGGCAGGTGCCAATCCTAGCTTTTTTTTAAATATCAACTAGGACACTTGTATTGGATTATACCGTGTAATCCAACCCACATGCGAAGTCTATTAGAGTTGTAGCCTGTATGGCAGGTGCCAATCCTAGCTTGTTTAACTATCAACTAGGACACTTGTATTGGATTTTACCGTGTAATCCAACCCACATGCAAAGTCTATTAGAGGTGTAGCCTGTATGGCAGGTGCCAATCCTAGCTTTTTTAAATATCAACTAGGACCCTTGTATTGGATTATACCGTGTAATCCAACTCACATGCAAAGTCTATTAGAGTTGTAGCCTGTATGGCAGGTGCCAATCCTAGCTTTTTTAACTATCAACTAGGACACGTGTATTGGATTTTACCGTGCGATGTGTGGGAATACAGTTTTTTTTGTACCATGATCTATAAAGTGGTACAATTTTAATAGGATGGAGTTTTATTACTTATTTTTAGTTGGATTTCGGAAGCTTTAATCTAGCAAAGATGGCCGACGTTGGTTTTATCCAACTAGCCACTGTATTAGAATTTTCCTTTAACTTCACTACTGATTCAAATAATTCTTCAGTCAGTATTTTGTTTGATTTGTTCAATGTATAATGAAATATTCTATCGTTATATATCTTGCATTGTCTTCTCTCTGTCACTAGTTGTTACCAACCAATTCCTCGAATCTCTTGTTACTATGAGTTATAACTATCTGTGAGTTTTTTTTAATCACAATGTATACTGTTTTCCTTTTAGGAGTTTGTTTAGTTCTTCCAAGTTGTTGGTTCATATTCAACACTGTGTTTATGATACATGCAAGGAAGATGTAGCTGTTGGATAAGTTCGACCAACTGGAGTACCATTTAAATCCTTACAGAGCAGACTGTGACCTACGAGTACGTGATTGAACCTGGATACAGCAGCAGTTCCTCCCAAGTATTTCAGTATAAAGGTTATGTTTCATAGCCATGGATATGTGTCCCTGTTGCCACTGGCTTTCCCAGTCTGGCAGTGTGTGTAAATCCATTCACGAATTTGTTACACAAGGCATGGAATAGTGAGGTGAAATAAATATACCCACTGTCTTTCAAACGAGCAGCTAAAGATCTGGAGTATTTCCTAAAGTAGTTGCTTGGAATGTTTATCTGTAGAAACAGATGAAAAAAACACCTGCTACTAAGACTGGATGGTCCAGTACTTTGACAGTTAAATGCTACTGTAGGAGGACTCGGAAAGTAGCCAATGCAATAGAAAATCAAGCCTTACACCGAGCCAAGTTCAAAGCTTGATGAAGTGAAAACTTGGTTATCTACCCAAGTCGTACACCAAGCCAAGTTCAAGGCTTGATGAAGTGAAAACTTGGTTATCTACCCAGATTATCTGCCCAAGTCGTACACCAAGTTAAGTTCAAGGCTTGATGAAGTGAAAACTTGGTTATCTACCCAGATTATCTGCCCAAGTCGTAC